ATAACTTACTGAAGTTAGTGCAATAATACAACAGAAAGATATGCTCATTATTTTAAAGGAACCTCATGCTGAAGAGGGTAGCATCCTAAAACAGTTTTATACCTGAACAACAATAGTAAACACAATAAAAATGCTTACCACTAAGAACTCTATCTCTGACAGTAGTTTCACATTATTTGTGTTGCTGAGATGAATTAGGTGGTTGCTTTCTGAAATTTGATCCATTTGCTCTTTTACACTCTGAAGCATTTCTTCATAACTGCTCAGCTTTAGCTCAATTTGGTCAACTTCCTTTAGAGCTTCATCCAGCAACTTCATCAAGATATTCACCTGTTTCTCCGAGGCCATAATGGACTGGATATTTGCCTGTACAGAAAATAAGCCACATTCTAAGAGACATTTTTATATCTCAGAACCATTCTGGTATCTCCTTCTGCTAGAACTACGTCAAATGAAGAGCTTCCAAACTATAGCATTTCTCATTTAAAGTGTTACTGAACACAGCAGTTCCTCATTCTACGACACTCCCTTATTTCAACAAGGTAAGAACCCAACTTCGCTGAAGTTCTTAGAACTGAGGTGTTGATATGCAGAAAAATAAAAAGCCAAACAGTAGGCCCTATTACAGCAGAACATTTTTAGTTTAAAAAAACAAAAGCACAGGTAGTAAGATCAGATCTTCTGTTGCAAGATCAGCTGTCTCTCTGACAGGAGCCATTTTTAAAACAGAAGAGAAACACAGAACTTGACGATTTGAGGAGGTTGTTGACTGTTCCCTCTCATGACTGTATTCCCTGGATCTCCTTAAGTTTTCCAAGTGACCTCTAGAAAGTCAGGTGATTTAAAAAGCAAAAGAGCAAATAATATGGCACTGTTACAGGCAGCCAAATACAACAATGTCATTAGACTAAACCAGTTTCCTAATTACAGAGTAGTATTTTAGGCATCCATGGACATGAATGTCTGTTTGCTCTCTCGCTGCACCTGTGCCCTCAAGAAAGGTATATGCAGAATGTCTCCCTTTTTCCTTCTCAATTCCTCATTTGAAAGCCTGCAGCTCACCCCAGAAGGTGCGGAAGGCAAAGACCAAAGCTGAAAATCTTTAAAATATAACAGACAGGATGCAGCTCTGCTTAGGAGCAGATGCACATATACATTTAACATGTCAACTACCTTTTCAAAGACTGCTATGTGGTCAGTATCAAAGAGAACAGTCCAACATGCTGACACACTGTACATCACAAGAAATGTTTACCCCATCCAGCACTTGCAGTTCCCTCGACAACTTCTCTGCAAAGGCTTCAGCATTAGAAATTGCATATTCACACCCTTCCATCATTATTTCAATATCCTGTTCCTCTCTTGCATTTAACTCCTGGTATTCATCCACAGCTTCTTCATCACCTCCTGCTACACTTTGATTCTCTCCACTTGGAACAGATTCTTAGGCAGAGAAGGAAAATAAATGTTATCAAGTCCAGAAAGTCACAAGCATTTTAAGAGTACTTAAGTATGCTTAACTATCTTTAAGTAAATGAATCCATTAAACAACTTTCCTAACAAGCAGTTGCTACCTGTGAGCACTTTTTTCAATTCTCAGTCTTCCAAATGCTTCGTTATCATTTCCCAAACTGGTTCCCAACAACAATGTTTTCCAGATGATGTAACATAACAAAACACAAATAGCCACCTTCCTTTATTGCACGTACAAAGGGACAAACCTAGTCTCAGGTTTTTTACCTCTCATGCTGGTAATAAGCATCAGAATATATTACAGTATTACACTCAATTTGTTAGCAGAAGAGATCAGCAGAAATTAGATTCTCTCTTTTGGTAGACAGAGCATAAGGGAAATATACTGAAGTTGATTAAAATATGTATCACTGAATAAATAAAAGTTATCTTGTTGATCGAGTTTTACAGCAAGCAAATCAGTAGTGAGGTAAGTGGAAATTAAGTAAGAAGGGGTTGTTTTCTCACAGTAATGCTTACTTAATTTAAGAAGCCCCTCAAAGGCTGACAAATGATTTACAGAACATTAACACACTCCAGCCAGAAAGTGTTTGCGACATTTGAAACATCTCTCCTATACCTGGCAACTTGATAAGCTATCCAAAGCACTATTAAAAAAAAAAAACAACAAAAAAAAACCCCAAAACTTGCACATTATTTAAGAAAATTGCTTATAAAGCAAAACAAAGGAAAAAGGTGTTACGCACCTTCTGCAACTTTAGGAAGTTCTGAAGAATTAAAAGGTATGGAAAAGCAGAGGAAAGGAAGCAGAGAATGTTAGCTAGACAAAGCACGAACAGTGTGTATATTTTTAAGTGGCAGTAAGTTTGAATGTTTTAATATTGAATGAATTAGAGGTTGGTTTAAAACAAACTTCAGTGAACACCAAAATACAGATATGTTATCCCTCCCATTTAACGTTTCTAATCCAAATTCTTCTGCACACACCAGTCTAGTATTTCCTATCAATGGTTTAACCACTTCTGACAGACTCAACATGAGATACACTTACTCACTAGGCTTCACTATAAAATTTTAATTCGCAAAAGATAATGCAACTGTAAAAATGTTTAATACAGCATAAGCAAACAAAATACAAAGCCTCCTTAGCAATCAATCAGTCATGTAAACTGTAACAGGGTGCAGCAGAATTTAAGACATGTTTCACAGTTTATAAACCAGAAATCTCATATAAAACCTCGTTAATCTCTGGAATGCTACAGAACCATTACTGTTTAAAGCAGTTTTCTAATTCAGGGGAAGCAAAAATGGGAACAAAAGCAGATTTGTTACACATTCAGACCTACCAGATCTGGGAGGCAGACTTTATTTTGTTCAAGAAACACTATGTCTTAGAAATACAACAAGCTTATCAGTATTTAGAACTTCATTAATGAAGTATTTTGTTTTGGTTCTCAGTTTTCTAACAAAAAAATCTGTTATGTAGTCATCTTGCCTACCTGAAGACTTAGAAAATATAAAAGAATAAAACTGAATAAGAAAAGCTATTAGGATTAGGATTTTTTTTTTTACCATCAGTAATTACTAAACTTTATACTTCAAATACACTTGTAGAAATTTACCTTCCAACAGCTGTGAACTAACATTAATAAAGTCAATTTTCTTTCTAAGGTATCTCTGATTGAGTTTCCAGATACATGAAATGAAGGTGTTCTTTTCCACTGAGCTGCTTGCAACCCATTTGTACACTTTATCAAAATGCAAGTCAAATTCAGGATTCTCCTGCAAAAGATGAGATATGTTACAGGCTCCACAGTCAAAAGATCCTCCGAGTAGCAGAGATTGTTTATGCATTTAATTAGTGAGATGACAGGACAAAAAGGAAATTACAAAGATGCCAACCTCAGGCTCATACAGCAACTCTGGTGCTCTCATGCACCCTAATAAAGGTGCTAAAACAGTGAAAGAGAAAAGCCAGAATCCAGGCTATGGAGACAGTATTTTGTTAAGCCAGATAAGGCACCAATAACACATAATACAGAGATCTGTCAGAGTTTCAACAAATACTTGACAGTGCTATCTGCCCTGAAACACTGTCCTCAGCATGACTAATGCCTTTTGTTAGCCTTCTGAAAATAAAAATGGTAGCTGGAATTACTGGCTTACACCACATACAACACGATTTAAGGAAACTTAACAGAATAGACAAGGGGAAAAAAATTATGAGCACTTCATATATTTTATAGGTATGATAGTTATTTAATAGGACTAAACAGAAGAGAAAAAAATTATATTTTCATAGTAAAAACTACTACAGAGGTATTTGCAAATAGATTTATTGCCTGATGAGAACATGACTTTGATAACAACTGAGTAAACTACTTTCTACAACTCACTTATGAACTCAGTATGGACTTTTGACAGTCTGTTTCAAAGATCATATTACAAGCATTTTATAATGTCCAGCCTCCTTTTGATGAAATGTTATTGCCTCAGATATATATTAAATTCTTACTTATATATACCTTGTAAAAATTAACTATTGCTGTTGCTTATTATATAGTCACTACTATCTGTAGAAGCAGGTGGCACAAGAAACCACATGTGCTGAGAAATTTCATTTCCTGTACAGTACAATAAAAGTAATTATTTTTGTGTGTGTAGCTTATATTGACAAATATAATTACATTTTTAAACAAACAGTATTGTTACATAAAATTTGACTTGTCTCACAACTAATGGAAAAGCCTGTGTCAAAAGACTTGCATGGGCTCATGTTTGGAAACCAAACCACAATGCAGCAACCAACTTTAATTCTGACATTTTTGAATATGACAGGGTCTGGCATTTAAGATTTGGGTTTTGAAAGAACATTTCAAAATCTCTCATTAGAGTGCTAGATACATTACAGCACATTTCTGCTAGCAATTTCCAAATTCTGTTCTGCAAGGAAAAGCCCAGAGAAACAGTATGATTTTAACCTGAAAGAAGCAATTCTCCAACATGGTATTAAGGAACAGTGACAAAAATCTAAAATCTAGCCAAGAAGTATGTGAATAATTGAAACAGCAAACCTATACCTGGGGAGGGGAAAATCAAAGAATTTTCAGCTTTGCAGTTTTCTGCACTATTCTTCCAAGTTATACTATTCTTCCACCACTTACCAGAACATAAGAACAGACATCATGCAACGAAGGATTTGCACCTCTGCCTGCTTAAATTTAAGTCTTAGTTTATGACAACAGATGACTTTAAGTCAAAATGTGTTGTTCTTGTTATTCTATGGAAAAACTCACCACCTCAGGACTTTATGCTTTCCAACAAACAGGCAATGCCATAATTTACAGGACAGAATGTAAGAGCTCACCTTCAAGCTTATATACTGCTCATTGAGAATGTTTTAAGTGTCCTAGCAAAAAAATGTTGCATGTAGCCAAATGTCATTAGTAATATAGTCAGAAATTTTCTTAAGGGAAACTAAGCTTGGAGTAAAAAATTATATACAGCTTGAAAGAAACAAAAAAGCAGTGGTCCTTAGCACAAGCTCTCTACAGTTGCCGAGAGATCACTACAAATAACAGGGCAGATATTCAGAATATTGCTATTCAAGCATATCCAGACTATTCTTCCTCAATTAACTAGGGCTATATTCTTGGAAAGACTGACATAAAATGTAGCTGTAAACAGCACACAAATGTATCATCCTAATTCCTATTTAACATGTTATAAATCTAAGCTTTAAAGCAGTAAGTATCAAGAAAGTTAACTCTAACTTGAAACCAAAAGGATGTTCTCTGCAGAGCACTAATCAAAAAAAAAAAAAAAAAAGTTCCACATACTTTAATAGCATCTTTGGCATCAACAACAGCAAGGTCTCGAAGTGCCCATGCAGTCTGCCTTTTGTAGAAATCTCCCTTGTCAGATTTTTTCACTTTTACCACATTTACTTGCACTGGTCGTTCTGTTGTCACTATTAAATGAAGTAAGAGAGTAATTTCAAAACACACATATTACTTCAACTTCTGAAATTAATTATCTGTGGGAGCCATTTCATAATATTTACTTGATGAAAAGAGACACTTTGAAACATTTTCACCCACAATATCCACAGCTCAGTTGAAGCTTGTGATGTAACAAACCCAATTTACAGAGATCTCTTTGATATATCAGATCTTGAACCATGGTCATGTAACTGACAAAGCACAGACATAACTGGAGATTATTGTCAGAATAAAAGCATTTTTTGAGATTTCTCAGTCAAAAAGATATTCTAGCAAGTTAATTTACTGACAGATCAGCCCAAAGCACCTAGTTTTTTGAAGCAATGTGATGCAATAAACATACACTTACATTACAACTCAGTTCAGTTACTGTGCCTTTCCAGAGCCCTCTGCCTTGGACTCTAATGAGTATACTTTATTGCATTTTATTTAGGCTTATCAACCTAGATGACTCCGAAGTCCCCTTTTAAGCACCTATACAAAACCTGCTTTAAAAGTCCACCAGTTCCAAAAGAACAATTCTTGTTTCTTTAATTTCGAAGTACAAGTGGGTGTTTTTAGTAGAAGCTATAATGGAAGTACAAGCTACAACTGATTTCCTCCATCAGAAATGGAAAGCACCTGTTTTATATGGGTCAAGAAAAAGCATTATAATTAAAGCTAAGACAAATGCAACTGAATATAAAACAAAGGTGAAACCAAGAAATATGATGTGATATTGCTATGTACCTGTGGCACACAAAAAGCAATTTCTCTTCTTTTTGCCTGCTTTGCACACGTTGACAATGCTCAACAAGCGTTCATCATTGGGAGTGAAGATATCCCTCTGTAATGCATGCTTGATTGCAGTCATCTTCCCTCAGCTGAAAGATTTTAGGAAGTCATAATACACTCAGGCACATTTAACAGACACACAACAAAAAAGAACCAATCATCTATGTATAGTGACTACAGTTTTTTAAAATTAAATTTTACAAGGACCTTAATGAACTGCAATCTAGACAACCATGATTTGGGTAAAAGACCAGCACACAAGTTAAAGCTTACTATCAGTTAGACAACTGTAATTTATCAACACTCAGATGATCCTTCACCTTAACTTAATGGAAAACAAAAAGCCTCTTTGAAGTAAAGTAGAATGTGAGGCATGAAAAAAAAAAAAGTTGAAATGATAATTAAGAAAAAAAAAGACCCCCTCACCAATTAGTGGAATTTTAGAATGGGTATGAATGCCACGGATCCAGCAAAAATATAGATGAAGAGAGATTAACAAAAAAAATGCCACCAGGTTTGACAGGATGGAGAATATGAAACCTAAGACACTACAGTGCTGATCTTAACTTAAAAGTCCAGAACCCTTCAAATATAACTAAAACTTACAGTTAATGTTCAGAACTCTTTCACCAAAACAAGGTTGTATGTTGGTAAGACCAAATTGAAAATAACATCCCATTTAGAGGAAGAAAAAGTGTTCCTGTCTCTCTGTTCTACAGGAAGATTTCTGCAATATGGTATGTCATAGCAGTCATTCAATTACAGAATCACACAATATTCAGAGTTGGAAGGGACCCATGAGGATCATCAAGTCCAACTCTTGGCCCTGCATAGGTCATCCCCAAGAATCACACCAAGTGCCTGAGAGCATTGTCCAAGCATTTCTTGCACTCTGCCAGGCTTGGTGCTGTGACCACTTCCCTGGGGAGCCTCTTCCTGTGCCCAACCACCTTCTAGGTCAAGAACCACTTTCTAATATCCAGCCTAAACTTCCCCTGACACAGCTTCAGTCCATTCCCTCAGGTCCTGTCACTGGTTGCCAGAGAGTGATCAGTGCTTGCCCCTTCACTTCCCCTTGTGAGGAAGTTGTATACAGTGAGGTATACACAACTCCACCACTCAGATGTCACAATTTCAAGTCTAACAAATTACTACTTTTGAGTCTTGATGTACCACATGCACATCCTACTTCTCTTTAGGTAGACAGAAAAATCATTCTGACCTACTATCCATATCCCTGCATGCTTCCTCACTTTCTCCTCCATTGGTATCAGAAGAGAAATTCTAAACTCCAAATCCCATGTTATGCCATTCCTTGCTGTCAGTGATGTAGTTGCATACTAAATCAGACCATTAGGTTGCATAAATGATGTGCATTCATCATTAACAGCTCAGGTACTTTCCTAAAAACATCCAAAAGTTTGATTTCTAATTTTCTCCTCAGTGAGGATAGTTTTTGGGTGATTAGTGGGAGGGAGAGGATCAGAAAAGAAGGCAGAAAGAGACTGGGGAGTGGTACTACCCTGTGGTAGTTTTAAAGATTAGTAACTCAAGGGCTTTAGGAAAACAAGGGTCACCATGTCAAGGTAGAATCAGAATTGTCAAGTGCACAGAGCTTAGCATATCCAGAGAAATGCTGTTTAGGACACCCCTATGGCCACATAACACTCTATAGCTGCTAAAAATTTTCCTCATTCATCAAACACTGGGCCCAGCTTTTGTTTCCCAAACTGCATCAGGTTGTCACTCCTGTTACTCTTCAACAGATGCCCAAGATGAACACACAAAATACCAACAACCTGAGCATTTCAGAAATATATCTTTTCCTTCCTGATTATTTTTTGCTCAAAGTCACATTCAAACTGCTGCAAATTGCTAACTCTTTTATTTCAGTGCCAACACAAGTTCTCCAGGTTATGCAGAATACACCTTTTCCATGAAACAGAGCATAGAATCAGAGAATCAACCTGGTTGGAAGAGACCTCAAAGATCATTGAGTCCAACCCTACTGTGGTCACTAGACCATGGCACTAAGTGCCACATCCAGTCTTGTCTTGAAAACCTCCAGGGATGGTGAATCCAACACCTCCCTGGGCAGCACATTCCAATGCCATGATAAACCCAAGACTAAAACCAGTCTCTAACATACATTCCAGCTTCTGTTACAAACTCAGCCCCCTTAGTCACAGCCTCCAAGAACCTTCACAATGTGCCAAGACCAAGCACATCATTAAGCTTTTCTCACTTGAATCCTGCTGCCATAGGAACACAGAATTTGGACTAAGAGCTGGAGATAAGGTTCCTTCCTCATACAAATGCTGCAAGCGAGCACAGACCATGCCAAACTCTGACAAATCCCTTTAGACATTGCTGCATTTTTTTCTGTAATGTTGCAGACAAAGAGTACATGAAATCAATCATAGCCATAACATCACAGGCACGGCCTGCCAGGAAAGAGAAGCAGCAGAGCAGTGTAGTAAGGCTATTTAGCCTCTCTAAGGGCGCAAACTGGACAACGTTCTTGTTGGGTTAGAACGTAACATGAGCCCAACCACAGCATCCCCGAGAATCAATCAACCGATCGGTCACTGAACACGAAAACTCAGACGCGCTACCTGCAGCCGCGGCTGCTCCTCCCACGGTCCCGTTTCACAGCGCTTCGTCCGCACACGCCGCCGCGGACAG